GACATGCTAGTAATCCAAGTTCCAAATGTTTGCATTCCATGTTCATCCACATCTTTCTTTGCAGATGACTTAAAAACTTATGCTGTCAAACAGGTTTGAGAAATACTGTGTTTTTATAGTTCTTGCTCTACTTAAAAGTTGTACAAATAGTTTACTTTGCATGTCTAATCTTGTATGCGCATTGCAGTGTTACATGAATATACAGTTGCAAGAAAGAGTATGTGAACCCCTTGGGATCAGGTGGAGTTTTGCATGAATTGGGCAAAAATGTGCTCTGAATGTCATCTAAGTCACAACAATAGAACAGTCTGCTGAACATAATACTACACAAACATTAGATGTTGCCATGGTTTAATTGCACATAACATGTAAACATTCACAGTGCAGGGAGGAAAAAGTATGTGAGGCCCTAGCTTAATGACTTCTCCCAGAGCTAATTGGAGCCAGGAGTGAGCCAACCTTGACTCCAATCAGTGTGATGATATTGGATGTGTTGCTGACAGCTGTCCTGCCCTTAAAAAACACACACCTGTTTTGGGTTTACTGGTTTCAAGAAGCACGGTCTGATGTGAACCATGCCTCGCAGAAAAGAGCTCTCAGAAGACCTACGATCAAGAATTGTTGACTTGCATGAAGCTGGAAAGGGTTACAAAAGTATCTCCAAAAGCCTTGATGTTCATGTGTCCACGGTAAGACAGACTGTCTACAAATGGAGAAAGTTTAGCACTGTTGCTACTCTCCCTAGGCGAGGTCATCCTGTAAAAATGACTGCAAGAGCACAGCGCAGAATGCTGCATGAGGTAAAGAAGAATCCCAGAGTTTCAGCTAAAGACCTACAGAAATCTCTGGTACATGCTAACATTTTTGTTGACACATCTACAATAAGGAAAACATTAAACAAGAATGGAGTACATGGGAGGACACCACGGAGGAAGCCATTGCTGTCCAAAAAGAATATTGCAGCACGTTTGAAGTTTGCAAAAGAGCACCTGGATGTTCCACAGCACTACTGGCAAAATATACTGTGGACAGATGAAACCAAGATTGAGTTGTTTGGGAAGAACACACAACACTATGTGTGGAGAAAAAAGGCACAGCACACCAACATCAAAACCTCATCCCCACTGTAAAACATAGCGGAGGGAGCATCATGGTTTGGGGCTGCTTTGCTGCCTCAGGGCCTGGACGGATTGTTGTCATTGATGGGAAAATGAATTCCAGAGTTTATCAAGACATTTTGCAGGAAAACTTACGACCATCTGTCCGCCAACTGAAGCTCCGCAGAGGATGGGTGATGCAACAGGACAATGACCCAAAACATACAAGTAATTCAACAAAACAATGGCTGCAACAGCACAGAATATGCCTTCTGGAGTGGCCCAGTCAGAGTCCTGACCTCAACCCGATTGAAATGCTGTGGCATGACGTTAAGAGAGCGATTCACACCAGACATCCCAAGAATATTGCTACACTGAAACAGTTTTGTGAAGAGGAGTGGTCCAAAATTACTCCAGATCATTGTGCAGGTCTGATCTGCAACTACAGGAAACGTTTGGTTGAGGTTATTGCTGCCAAAGGAGAGTCAACCAGTTATTAAGTCCAAAGGTTCACATACTTTTTCCTCCGTGCACTGTGAATGTTTACATGTTTATGTGCAATTAAACCATGGCAACATCTAATGTTTGTGTAGTATTATGTTCAGCAGACTGTGTTCTTCTATTGTTGTGACTTAGATGACGTTCAGAGCACATTTTATGCCCATATCATGCAAAACTCCACGTAATCCCAAGGGGTTCACATACTTTTTCTTGCAACTTTAAGTCCACTCTCAGGTTCGGTATACACTTGTTTCAGCACCTGCTTTTACTTAGTTTGTTTTTTTGTTCTACCAAATGTGTAGACATTAAAGGATGAGTGCGCACGGTTGAGAATAAGCCATACTTACCTACAACATCCTGTGCTGTAAATCTTAGGTGGGTTACCACTGCAAGTGCACTGCAGCCTGAAGGGCTGATGGACAGGCTTTTTATTGAAATAAATAGAGGCTGCGGCACATATGCGAGGGTGCCACTCTGAATATTACAGGTAGAGGCTGTGTGTAGCTGAGCAGGCCACACAGTAAAGCCCTTGAAAGAACAGGGTTTTTGTATATATTACCTGTTATGAATGTTCTGTGGAAGGGGAGGGGTGTCTGTAAAGTACAACTAATAGTCTGGCTCATAATTGCCTTTTAATATGTCATGCTGAATCCCGTAATAAAAGTAAATATCCTTTTTTTTTTTTTTTTTTTTTTTTTTTTTTTTTTTCCTAGCAGCGGCAGTTATAGACTGGTCACTACCTAAGTTGTGAGTTACTACTATGATGAGAAGTTCAAAGTAACAAGCTGAATGACTATTTATGTAGATGACCACTGAATTCTGCTGTACAGGTATGTAAGTGAAATTTGGTTAATTCACATACTTTGTATTGAGGACTGTTTTTGGTATGAAGTAAATATTAAATTTATACTAGGCTGTAGGACTACAACTAATTATTATTTTCATATTTATTTAATTGACTGATTATTGCTTTGATCGATCAGTTGGATAAAAAGCAGAAAAAAGTTTGGTGTATAATTTTAGTTAATAAGTAAAGTTTAAAAAAAGGCAATTTCATTTTGAATATCCATATGCAGTGTTAAATATAAATGACCAGCTATTTGTTTAGGGAACAAAATATCTAATCCACTCTGGGGGAAACAAAAAAAGTGGTTGAATCTAATGCATACTGTATCATCAGAATCAGAAATAAAAATTTTTATTTAAAAAAAAAAAAAAAGAAAAATTTTAGGCCTAAAACACTGTTTCGCAAATTTTCAGACAGCATTATTATCTATTATGCATGACAGACTCCCTTGTCTCCCCTGTCTCTGCTCCCTTCTAGTCCCTGGGTGCGGTGCTGGAGACAGGCAGGGAGGGGAGGAGGCAATAAACAGCGCAATGTTAAACATATTAAACATTTAATTCACCTTAAATCTCCTTTTTGTTTTTAAAACATTCCTAATATCGCCTCCGATTTAAATACAGTTTTGATTAAAAAACATTTTTTTTTTATCTGGACAAGTAGATTGTCTTGAGGGATAAGTAGATTGAGACAATGATTTAATCCCTGGACAAGTATTGTTTTAAAAAAAATGTCCACACCCCTGATAACCCACCTTTTAATTGTCAGAGGTATCCTGTCATAAGAGGAATTTGCCATCAGCTTCTATATGGTTTCTATAAGAATTTCCCAAAAGAATTTCCCAAAATCTTCAATAAAGCCACACCATCCTCCTACAAACACACAGATCCAAAAGGCTATAGTCAATCTAAAAACAGTCTGTCCTTCTGGCAGAGTACCTACCCCATAGTCTAGTTTTGTATGCTCACCTTGCCTATAGTATAGCCACCAATATAAGAATACATCGGCCGATCAACCAAAGGAAGGAAGAGGCGAGAACAGGAGGGGGCCCCGCACTATATAGGCCCACTAATTGGCCGCAGGTGACACAAACCTATATTTCTTTTATATTGGGATACTCAGGGATGTGGCATTTCTTTTTTTTGAATTTTATATCTTGGTTGGACACTACTGCCTGCGTTTACTCCTTGTTTTCTCTACAACACAAGGTTGTAGGGCACTTAAAGAGCAGCCTCATTCACTTGAACGGGTCATGCTGCGACATGTGCACACCCCTGGCCACGGCAGATAAAAGGGGTGCGGTTGGGTTGAGGGTGGTAACTCCTCTAACACATTCCCTCCAAAGGACAAGTCTTGGCTGGACACTACTTTCAAATGCTAGTGCTTCCATGGCTTAAGGATCATACTGCAGTCTGAGAGATTTCTTCCCAGGAAGCGTCTGAGAGAGATTTGATTTAAATCTAGCAGGGGGTAATTTACTAGAACTGATGAATATTGAGTATCCCAAATCCATCAGCTCTAGATGGGACCACCAGAGGCGCTATACTTCCAAGAAACATTATAAAAGAGGCTTCATTTTGACCCCTGTTGGTGGGAAGTGTTTATAACAAGGAACTATCGCTTGTACAGTGGTGGTGTGCTGGTTTTCCATCCATTATGCTCTAGTTGCTGCTATCTTGTGCAGCTTAGCAACTGGCGAGTTTGCAGTAGTGGCAGTTGTTGGTGCACATGTGATCACAGTGGCAAGCAAATTAAGTTACTTTCAATATTAAAGACACCATTTTTTTAAAGCAGACTTTTACATATTGCACTTTCTTGGCTCTTTGACTTTCTTTGCACAAGATATAATTGCACTTTGATTCGTAATTTGTAATATTTATTGTGTCTGCATATTTTCACTTTGTTTCAGTTTTATAATACTGACCTACTCTGCAAGCTTCCTAAGTTTTTTGTTCTAACACTGACATTGTCTTTTGAATATTATACTGATAAGAAATTTTAGACTTCTTAATCAAAAGTAGTTTTTGTTATTACATATGCAAGTGGATTGATCCAGTCTAATACTTACACCCCTCAACTTTAGGGTACTAAACCACACTAGATAAATGACGCTCCATAGAAACTTCAGTATTTTTTGTAATAGACATGCTGTCAATATATTTAATTATAATCACCATCTACTGCTTTTATTTACGACCCCACTGAGGCCACAAGCATCTCAGTATTGTCCTAGATGCTTGCTAAACTGGAGTCCAAAATATAGATGTGGAATTGTTAGAATTTTTAATTCGAATGTGTTGTATAGGGAAGCTTTGTTCTGTGTGCTGCAGCCCAATTTTTTGAAGGCCTTGATAAAGCTGATCTCTGCCCCTGACCCCCCACCTTTTGTAGTCACTGCATAAAGCTCCCTTTATATAGTTACTTCCTTGAAATTCCTGTGTTTTTTATGCATGGAATAAATTGTCAGTAAGTATATTACTTTATGGGTTCAGTAAAGTTTATCTTGTCATTTTCCTCACCACAGATTTTACTTTACAAGATAATTTCAACTTGTCTGAATGACTGAACTGTCAGCATCTTTAACTCAGGTCCAACAAGGACAAGTCCAAGAAGACTTTGTTGAAAGCCACACTGCAAACATGGTATGTATTCCTAAAGCAAACACACACTTTTTTAAGTGGAGAAGTTCCAGAACCATAACCCCTATCAGTTTATTACTGCTGTGTACCCTTTGGGAATATTTCTGTTCACTTTGGTAACAATTCTACCCCAATTCTCAAAAGGACAGCGAGTGAAGAGAAGTCCCCTAGTTGGGCCACACACAAAAAAAAAACAGACTTCCCCACTCAAAAACAAACAAAAAATGTGAACTTTGTTCCATTTCTTGGTTCAAAGATCTCATCATGATAAATGACCCTTGAATCTGTAAATAGACACCTTGCCCATTTTCAACAAAATGATAGTGTCTTTGCACAGGGTCTCTCTTGACTGATGATTATCTTGCCAGCACTGCTCTGCTGCTTCCTCCACCAATGAAATCACCAGTGTTGGCAGATAATGGATGCTAAGGGGAGGGCGGATGTCATTCATTTGTCATGTGACTGTGCCCAGGACTAGTACTGGAGGAATTCACATGCCCATACCTACAGGGACTGGGTATTGTTGCTAAATGCAACAGAGGAAGATTGGCAAGGAAGTGGCAAGTCTTGGGGGTCCCCTTTTGCTAGTTTGCCCCAAATAGGTAAGGTGAGAGTGTTTTTTTTTAATCACTTGTCGACGATTATCAGCGCTGTTGCACTTTTTTTGAGACAGATGTAGCTTTCTTTTGGTGGCATTTAATCGCCACTGGGTTTTTCTTTTTTTTTTGCTAAACAAACGGGAAAAAAAAGATTGATAATTTTTGAAAAAAAAAAATGTTTTTCTTCATTTCTGTTACTTTTTCACTGATTGGGCAGCACTGATAAACTGGACAGCACTAATTATCGGCGAAAACTATGCGAGGAAAGAATGCCAATAACCGGGAATTTGTTTACATGTTATCAGCTGTGATTGAACACAGCTGATCACATGGTAAAGAGCTGCTGTGACTGGCCCTTTACCCCAATCTGTGATCAGCTGTGTCCGAAGGCCACAATGGTTACAGAGCGCTCCTGATGTGCACCGCAGGAGGCCTGCGGGATCTGGGAGGACATCTATTGTCGCCTTTCCAGAACTGGACAACCGTGTTGTATCAGTCTTTCGGGTATAGCGGTGTTAGGAAGTGGTGAAAAATGCGAAGCTCTATTAAGGCCACATTTGTAAAGTGTAAGGCAAAAGGCTAACCTAACTAATACAAATGAGGGGTTGTATTCCATTTTCCATAATGGGGAGAAAATACACCAAGGAGAGCGACACCCGATTGTAGAGGCAAAAGTAAGTATGCGGACCTAGCCATCAGACCACAGAGATCTCTCTTCTGCAAGAGATTTATGAAAAATCAGGTGCTTTCAGTCTCTGATATTTAACAAACCCTAAAATATTAGTTAGGAGAAGGTTAATTCTTTTAAAACCCAAGTAAAAAACTATTTTTTTTTTTTTCTTTTTGACAGAGTGGGATAAAAAAAGAATGTAATCTGTTAGGTTTTTATTTGTAGTCGGTGTCCTCATTGGAGAGATTTTCCCAACCGCTTCTCCCAACAGAGTGGTGAGAAGTCTCTCCAGTGGGCGGATAGACATAAAAAACATTTTTTTATATTAACCCCTTGACGCCGATCGCACGCATGTATGGGCCTTGACGCCGTGCAGCCGCATATTTGCGTGCAATTAGAAAATACATATGTGCTGAGAGCGTGCACCCTGCGCGCTCCTAGCACATATGTCCGCGACTCCTGGAAAAGTCTCGATCTCCCCTTTCCGATCATGTGACGGCAAATCATGGCGGTCACATGACCCTAAAACCCTGCCCCACCTCCTGGCTTCTGAAACTATTAAAGGGCCGGGAGGTGCCGGCACCAAGAGGTTAACATTAGTGTTAGCATTTAATGCAGGATGTTCCCATGCTTCTCTTGTGCTTTCAGCCCAGCATGCATTGCACACAGAGTTGCTCTTAACCTGTTTGAACTACTCCTGCAGACTCTAGGTCAGTGATTTTCAGCCTTGGTGAGACTAGGGTGTGGTAAATTCTTCCAAAACCTTCTATGCCACAACATGGAAGTTGTAAGTTAAATTATATATTTAAGTGTCCTGTATGTGGCTAGACTGTCAAGTCTCTCGCATGTGATATCTCCATACTTTGGAGAAGTAGCAAAATGTATTTTGGGGTGTAATTCCACATATACCGATGACCTGTGTGAGCAATATATCATTTAAGTGACAAGTTTGTATAGAAGAAGAAAAAAACATTTTTAATTTTCAAAAAACGTGGTAAAAAATAAATTCTACTTTCCAAAAAGGGGTAATTTGGGAGGGGGTTGTTATCTGTTTATGCATTAGAAGCTTATACCACATATCACCCTCTCTTCTAACCACTTTTTGCTTTGAACCCCCAAGCATTCTATATTTTGTTTAAAGCAGAGGCCCTAGAGAATACAACGATGGGTGTTGCAATTTGCCATACAGTACTTGCACAGTGATTCTTTTTCAAACGCAAATTTTTTTTTTTTTAATTTTAATGCAAAAATACACAATATATTGGCCAATTGTTTGGTAAAATATAAAAGATGTTATGCTGAGTAAATAGATACCAAACATGACATGCTTTAAAACTGCACACGCCCCGTGCAATGGTGTGAAACTACATACATTTTTAATATCCATAGGCTACGCTTTAAATGCCTTGGTAGGCTACCACTTTAGATTTACACAGGAGGTCTAGTGATAGAATCACTGCCCTCAATCTGTTTTTTACATAGATGCCTTACATGCATGATGGAACTGCTGTTTACATACCGGCACGGGCCAATGCTTGTGTACGCCATTGCGTGCGTGCGGGGCGGGGGGGGGGGGGGGGGTTTTTTTTTTTTTTATTACCTTATCTTTACACCGTCCCTTTCATTTCATATTATCGCAGGTATGTAAATATCCCCTGTGATAACAATAGGCAGTGACAAGTATTCTTTTCTGAGAACTCTGGAGTCTATTAGACTCTAGATATCTCCTCTTCCCTTAAATTATCTGATCACACCAAATATCTGCCATAAAAATGTGTGTGGTATGCCCACCGGTAGAATATGCCACCCTGCATCCACCCACTTCTAATGTTGGGCGTACATGTATTGATTTTTTTTTTTTTTTTTTTTTTTGCGCTCAGCCCGTTGGCTGAATGAAAAAAAAAAAAAGAAGCGAATAGATTCTTTCATTCACATCGATCCATGTGGATGAAGAAATCTCTGCCATAAAAATTTCTTTTTAAATATATGCCAAAGCATAGGAGTGATCCACTTACTGACCACCCCGACCCCCATGCTTGGGCATATATATGCTATATTGCCAAAAGTATTGGGACACCCCTCCAAATTGAATTCAGGTATTACAATCACCTCCATGGCCACAGGTGTATAAAATCAAGCACCTCGGCATGCAGACTGCTTCTACAAACATTTGTGAAAGAATGGGTCGCTCTCAGGAGCTCAATGAATTCAAGCATGGTACTGTGATAGGTTGCCACCTGTGCAATAAGTCCATCCATGAAATTTCCTTGCTACTAAATATTCCACAATCAACTGTTAGTGGTATCATAACAAAGTGGAAGCAACTGGGAACAGAACCTCAGCCACAAAGTGGTAAGCCATGGAAAATGACAGAGCGGGGTCAGTGCATGCTGAAGCACACAGTGTGAAGAAGTCACCAAATGTCTGCAGAGTCAATAGCTAAAGACTTCCAAACTTCATGTGACCTTCAGATTAGCACAACACCAGTGCGTAGAGAGCATCCAGTGCAATTCAAACTTGACTGGCCTGCACAAAGTCCTGATCTCAACCTGATAGAACACCTTTGGGATGAATTAGAGTGGAGACTGTGAGCCAGGCCTTCTCGTCCGACATCCGTGTCTGATCTAAAAAATGCGCTTCTGGAAGAATGGTCAAACATTCCCATAGACACACTTCTAAACCTTGTGGACAGCCTTCCCAGAAGAATTGAAGCTGTAATAGCTGCAAGGGGTTGGCCAACTCAATATTTAACCCTACGAAGTAAGATTGGGCTGCCATTAAAGTTCATGTGCGTGTAAAGCAGGCGTCCCAATACTTTTGGCAATATAGTGTCCTTTTTTTTTTTTTACACTGCGGATAGGAAATATCATCCTGCAGCGCTGCACGCACTGACATAGAATGCTCAGCATAAATGAGTACACCCCTTTTTAAAAGTAATATCTCAATGAACACACATTTTCCACAATTTTGACAAAACTAAATTTTATAGAACATTTGTTTAGCTCATTACATGAAAGTAAGGTTAATAATATAACTTGGATTACAAAATCTTCAGTTTTGCTCAAATTAGATGATGCAAAAATAAATACACCACAGAACAAAAACTACTAGTATTTTGTGTGGATGCATCGAAATTTCGGTGATCAAAAACACCCCTTTTGGCCGTCGGCCAAAAATAGCACAGATACAGGTGCCGAAAAAAACCCGCCCCCCTCGCCACCACCGGCCGCTGCTCGGTCGTTCTCAGCCTTACCTGAGAAACCATCAAACGATCCCTGTGCTGAGCTTACATATGAGTGAAGGAAAGGTGGCCTCCACTCATCTCTATGCCCTTGGAGTACCGGAGCGATGTCACTTCCGGTGCCGGCCCTTTTTTTTATTTTTTAAAGCCCTAGATCAATGCTTTACATTGCAGAGGAGAGATGTGGGGTCTTATTGACCCCATATCTCTCCATAAAGAGGACCTGTCACTAATTATTTAAATCACAAGGGATTCATGCATTTCTTGTGATAAGAATAAAAGTGATTAAAATTTTTTTTAAAGGGACAGTGCAAAAAAAAAAAATTCAATAAATTAAAAAAAAGTTTAAAGTGCCCCTATCTCCCCCATGCTCGCACGTATTGAACGCATACGTAGACCATGCTCACATATGTAAATGGTGTTCAAGCCACACATGTGAGGTGTGTATATATACAAAATACATTTTTGTTTTTTTTTTGTTTTTATTTTTAAT